AAATAAAATAATTAAAAAGAAATAAACTAGCATTTAAAAGCCCAACTGATATGGACAGAGATTTAAGTAATTCAGAAGTGGATTTCCAGGCTGTCAGAACATGCTCAAGTCGGCAATATGTCAGAGACCCGCGCACCCAGGCGCACCGACATCAGTCACCGAGTAATTTGTTCTCTCGTCCCCGACAGACCAGAAGCCAAAGCCGGAGTCGAATTTCCCGCTAAATTACACAACAGGACAGGAAGTGGGCGGGGTGCGCGGACGCCGAATTTAGATGGCACTGCGCATGCACGTGACGTGGGGACCCACAGCAGATTCATCTCCCAATGCGCATGTCAATTTAGACTCCCCACGTGTGAGCGGTTACCTTTGATTATGCCGGCTCCCTGTCCTTCTAACTTAGTCCACGGAGCGAGATAAACACTTTGTTTGTTTCCCTCTAGCCCGAGATTATTGTTTCAATTTACCTCAAAACACAACTCTGTGCAATTTGCTGGGGTTAGAGTTTCGTTTTGTTTTTTGCATGTTCACAGTTTTCGTTTCCTGGTCCATATATCCTTGTCATGGGTATATTGTGTGTATTTATTTTTTTTCATTCTGTTCAGGGTCGTATATTTTCTTTCTTTTTCAAATTGTACGGTGTTGCATCTGGTAGCTGGATTTGTTGTGTTTTTCCCCCCACACTTTTCTTTTTCTATATTCTAAGCCTTTCTTTTATTGCTGGGTGCTTATAAATGTGTGCATGCATGTGTGTGTGTGTGTGGGGGGGGGGTGTTTGTGTATGTGTGTGTGTGTGTGTGTGTGTGTGTGTGTGTGTGTGTGTGTGTGTGTGTGTGCAAGCGCGCGCGCACGTCTGTGCGGGTATACGGAAACAGACAGACAGACAGAGAGGATATATATATAATATATATATATATATATATATATATATATATATATAGAGAGAGAGAGAGAGAGAGAGAGAGAGAGAGAGAGAGAGAGAGAGAGAGAGAGAGAGAGAGTGATAGAGAAAGAGAGAGTATTGAAATGTAAGAAAAAATATATACAAATCATTTGTTTCGCGCCCATTTTCATACCATGCAGTTCTAGGTACTTTTACTGTACTCCGGTACATTTTGAGAATCAGTGCTTTTACTGTACTCCGATACTTTTTATAGAAGTACTTTTGAGTATTTTTAAAATACATTTTGAGTACTTTTGAAGCTTAATGAAAGAGTAAGTGCCGGTATTTCTAATCATAATTTACGGAATAAACACCCGGGCGGGCACAGCCGATCAACCAAGAGTTAAAAGTTGAGATTAAAGAACTGCCCGTAGCGTCAAAGATCAGCCACTCTCGTGAATGTGATCACAAGCGTTGTAAAACTCCATGAAACGGTACAATGATCCCTAGACGGGATCACACCGAGGTGTGAACTGACCGATGCGTTTCTTTTCACCAAACATCGCACTCGAATCTGAGCTCGCCACCTGAACTCACATCACTCGCTGGGTGGGTAGGGCCTACAACCTACCAATTCGCTCCAGGCAGGATCACATCGAACTGTGAACTCTTCCCTGACCATTGAAGTTGAAGGCAGTTTTTCTCTATTCCCGACTTTGTGAGACAGTCTGAATTTTAATTGGTGTGGTCACAGCGTAATGGTATGTACCGACAAAGGGGGGGGGACTCAATCAGATGGAAGGCTACAATTTTTTGACAGGTAAAGGGGAACTGAGAAGGCCTAGGTGAGGGGCAACTGGATAAACGTAGATAAAGATCTCGAGACGATATGCTAATGAGTGTTCGGTATAATATTAAGGCATGCCTCATTCTACCATGCTACTGTGATTGGTCATCAAGGTTGACCACCCTTTGCTCGCCATATGTCATAAACCACCCAGGGGTCACGTCAGTTCATGGGTCACTGTAGATGCTTCCTTGGCTTCGTCGGCTAAGACTAAGATCCCGTATTTCCCTTGCTTCCAAGCACTGGGATCTTAGGCGGAAAGTACTGTAGTAGAAAATTTTTGGTTACACTACACTTACTAGACTCTGGGAAAATACATGTAGGACTATTTAGCATTTTTTAGGCTACCTAAATTTCTTTTTACCTTATTTGTGTGGTTTGTGCTTAAGGCTACGTTGATTCCTTGAGGATTTGTTCATGAAGAATTCAATGCACGTTTCCATTTTTTGCTGGCCATTTTCATCAATCTTATTTTTACTTAAGAGCAACTTTGTCTCTACATTTTCCAATTTGGATACTTTTCCTACGTTCCGACCTCTAGGACTGACTTACATTTGATCATATTGTCTTGCTCAAACAAGTTCTATTCATGATATCACTTTCTCACTAGTTGCGTCTGTTTGTTTGATGGTTTTCTTCAATTTCACGGACCATTTCCACCTACGTTCAGTGCGTATATTCAAATGCTTCGTATACTGTTTACATTATTAGTAATAAATGGCCTAATTTGTATACTAGATATGTTATTCAATATGATGTTTTGCATTAGCACTGAAGTGTTTTATCATATTAGCAGAAAGTACTCAAAATGCATTCATACGTACTTTTTTTAAAAAGTATTTGTACTCAAGTACATTTTACAGGAAAGTACTATCACTGTACTTAAGTACATATTTTAGATTGTACTTAAATGAATTGTGTACTTAAGTACCTTTTTAAAAGTACTTTAACAGCTCTGCGTGAGATTGCCTGCCCTGGGGTTCGAGCCTCAGCTCGGGGCGACATTGTGTCCTTGGAAAAGGCACTTCACATGAATTTTCTCATTCGGCCTTGAACTTTCGAAGACGGACTTTAAACTAGGAGGTCCGGCCTCTAAGATAACCTACTAGTACTAATAGTGTTGATAGGTGCGTTAAACCTGCACAATTCGTTTCACCAAGTCCGGTAACCAAGTGTGCTACGAGCGTCTGCGAGAAGGGCTGACAAACCTTACAACAAAACGCACGCCATCGACTTACCGTACAGTTTGGTACACCTCACGACGAATGCATTACCTCATTTATTTTTTTTATACTAAAACCTATTTTAAAAGATAAGCTCTCGAAAGAACACTGCGAAGATGGAACTTCGTAATTCTGAGGCACAAAATTATCAAAAGTCCTTGTTTTCCAAATGAGCTCTCGTAAGAGCAGAAAAAAATTGCACAAGCCGACGTGTGAGTCGACCGTGCGGGGTATTGGGAGTAGTTTTCAACCAGCAATAACCACGCCTCGGTAAAACCTCATTGGCTATGGTACCGCCACTGCGCAAAGATAACTGTCTATATATTAAATCTGAGACTCCATTTGAAAGTAACTGTTAAATACTTATGGTATTGCGGTTTTGCATGAGATGACAAATTATAAAATCGTTGTTTATTGCAGCACCTGATTCTATAGGTTGTAAACGCAAAGCTAATGAATTTAATTCCTTGTTTTCAAAATATCTTGATTCCCCTTGAGTAGTAGTGCGCTATAACAGATATTATAAAAAGTCAGCGCCATTGTCGAGTTATGCCTCTTAAGCAGCTCGAATCTGCAAAGGGGCATAAATGTGTTTTGAAAGAAAAAACCAAAGCAAAGCAAAACAAACAAACAGACAAACAAAACAAAACAATCGTAAATTGAACCTTTCTATAAAGCTTTCCGTGTTTGGTCGCTTATGACTTTGTCCTATTGCAAACGGACGCTAATTATTAAGTGGGGTGAGAGGGTAAGGCTGAAAGGGGGAAGCAGAGGTAATTTTGGTTCCTTGAATTAATTTGGGTTTTCCCCCTTAACGTTTCAGTTGCTTTTCTCGATTATCAGTTACAGTCAGCTCTGTCCTAGACGACCACCCAATAGACAGGGGGCGTCACGGAAAGTGTTTTTGAAATGTCGAAAAAGGTAATGATAAAATAACATTTTAAAATATTTAAAAGAAACGAAAAGGTGTGGTGAATTGGAAAGTGGCTATTGAAATACAGGTGATTATCTAGAGCAGCCTGGATCTTTTTTAAAAAAAGTGTTTTACGGCCCTCGTAATTGCATAAGGTCATATGAGCGCTGGACACATTAAACTTTTTAAGTGGGTGAGAAATTCTGAATTTTGACCGGGTGGTGGCTGAAGCCTACTCTTTTCGATTTTGGAACACCAAGGGATCTTTTAACGTGCACAAGTTGCGCACGGTCCCTCCTACTTTTTTTGCCCTTGTCCGAGAAGGCTCCTACCAGAGGATCAGGGGTGTGGCCAAAAGACAGCAGTAAGAAGGAGCCAAGGAGTAGCAGTAGAAAGGCTGCAGAAAGAGTCAGGAGCCCAAAAGGAGGGGGCAAAGGAGGTGAGGGGGTGAGGGCAGAAAGAGGAGACGAAAGCAGACGACAGAACATTGCTGGAGAGCAGTAAAGGAGGTGAAAGGGGACAATTTTATACCCCCCAAAAAATTCGTCGCTACCCAGATTCGAACCCGGGACCTTTGAATGAGAGGCCAACACCTCAACCTCTAGGCCACGAGAGCCCCCCCCCCCGAGAGATTAACCTTTCGGAGACAGGCGTTCAATTCAGAGGTCTCGCCTCTTAAAAACCTAACATTGTTGACAGGAGCACTAAATATGCACAATTTCAACGTTTGTTTCTCCAAGTCCGGTGAACGTGTGGGCTGCTCGACACGCTACCTCACAAGTACAGAGTTTGGTCTGACATTTTTACCCGTTTAGAGTTACTAAGACCATGAGGTCAGAAAGCAATTTTTATTGTTATTTCTGATCTATCGATAGTGTGTAAAATTATTTGAAGTCGCTGTCAAGATATCCAAAGAAACTCATTCAAAAGAGCTTCACATTTTGTGAAACGTAATTTTTAAAAAAAGTAAAAATCCTCAAAACTAGGCATATAGTAGACAGAACTTTGTGATTCTTGTGCACCGAAGTGTCTGCAAGAGGGCCAGAATCTAACAACCAAACGTGCGTGCCTAACATTTACATTTTACATTGTCATACATAATAAAGAAGGGCCTAATCGTTTTTGTTATATAAGCTCTCTTAAGAGCAGAAAAAATTGCACAAGCCGACATGTGAGTCGACCGTGCGGGGTATTGGGAGTAGTTTTCAACCAGCAATAACCACGCCTCGGTAAAACCTCATTGGCTATGGTACCGCCACTGCGCAAAGATAACTGTCTATAAATTAAACATGAGTTGCGATAGAAAGTAACTGTTAGATTCTTATGGTACAGCGGTTTGGCATGAGATGACATATTATAAATCGTTGTTCATTACAGCACGTGATTCTATAGGTTGTAAACGCAAAGCCAATGAAATTAATTCTTAGTTTTCAAAATGTCTTAATTTGTCTTTTATAGTAAAGAGTTATAAAGAACATTAGAAAAAGTCAGCGTCGTTGTCGAGTTATGCCCCTTAAGAATCACGAATCTGCAAAGGGGCATAACTGTGCTTTGAAAGAAAAAAACAAACAAACAAACAGACAAACAAAACTAACCAAACGTAAATTAAACCTTTTTATAAAGCTTTCCCTATTTGGTCTCTTATGACTGTCCAATCGGAGACGGACGTTAAAAGGGTGGACTTAGAGGTTAAGGCTGAAAGGAAGAAGCAGAGGTAATTTTGGTCCCTCTAATTAATTTAGGTTTTCTCCCTTAAGATTTCAGTTGCTTTTCTGGATTATCAGTTCGATCAGTTACAGTAAGCAGAGCTGTTTTAAAGTACTTTTAAAAATGTGCTTAAGTACAAATTTAAGTACAATCTAAAATATGTACTTAAGTACAGTAAAAGTACTTTCCTGTAAATGTACTTGAGTACAAGTACTTTTTTAAAAAGTACTTATGAGTACATTTTGAGTACTTTCTGCTAATGTGATAACACACTTCAGTGTTAATGCAAAACATCGTATTGAATAACGTATTTAGTATACAAATTAGGCCATTTATTACTAATAATGTAAACAGTATACAAAGCATTTGAATATACGCACTGAACGTAGGTGGAAATGGTCCGTGAAATTAAAAAAAACCCAGCAAACAAACAGATGCAACTAGCGAGTAAGTGATATCATGAATAGAACTTGTTTGAGCAAGACAATATGATCAAATGTAAGTCAGTCCTAGAGGTCGGAAAGTAGGAAAAGTATCCAAATTGTAAAAATAGAGACAAAATTGCTCTTAAGAAAAAATAAAATTGATGAAAATGGCCAGCAAAAAAAAAATGGATACGTGCATTGAATTCTTCATTAACAAATCCTCAAGGAATCAAGGTAGCCTTAAGCACAAACCACAAAAAAAAGTTGAAAAGAAATTTAGGTAGCCTAAAAATTGTTAGATTGATATACATTGAGAACTCAATTTCAGTTTCAATTAATTATAATAGTGGCAAGAAATATTTTGGTAACACTGTGTTGTCCAAGGCGCCCATGGCAAACCAAAATAGGTCTACATGTAATTTCCTAGAGTTTAGTAAGTGTAGTGGAACCAAAAATTCTCTACTACAGTAGTCTCCGCCTTAGATCCCAGTGCTTGGAAGCAAGGGAAATACGGGATCTTAGCCGACGAAGCCAAGGAAGAATCTACAATGACCCACGAACTGACGTGACCCTGGGTGGGTTTATGAAATATGGCGAGCAAAGAGTGGTCAACCTTGATGTCCAATAACAGTAGCATGGTAGCATGAGGCAAGCCTTAATTTTATACCGAACACTCATTAGCATTTCATCTCGAGATCTTTATCTACGTTTATCGAGTTGTCCATCCCCTAGGCCTTCTCAGTTCCCCTTTACCTGTCCAAACATTGTAGCCTTCCATCTCTGATTGAGTCCCCCCTCCTTTGTCGTTACGTACCATTACGCTGTGATCACACCAATTAAAATTCAGACTGTCTCGCAAAGTCAGGAATAGAGAAAAACTGCCTTCAACTTCAATGGTTAGGGAAGAGTTCACAGTTCGATGTGATCCTGCCTGGAGCGAATTTGTAGGTTGTAGGCCCTACCCACCCAGCGAGTTATGTGAGTTCAGGTGGCGAGCTCAGATGCGAGTGCGATGTTTGGTGAAAAGAAACGCATCGGTCAGTTCACACCTCGGTGTGATCGCGTCTGGGGATCATTGTACCGTTTCATGGAGTTTTACAATGCTTGTGATCACATTCACGAGAGTGGCTGATCTTTGACGCGATGGGCAGTTCTTTGATCTCAACTTTTAACTCTTGGTTATCGGCTGTGCCCGCCCAGGTGTTTGTTCCGTAAATTATGATTAGAAATACCGGCACTTACTCTTTCATTAAGCTTCAAAAGTACTCAAAATGTACTTTAAAAATACTCAAAATGTGCTTTAAAAATACTCAAAAGTACTTCTATAAAAAGTATCGGAGTACAGTAAAAGCATTGATTCTCAAAATGTACCGGAGTACAGTAAAAGTACCGAAAATTGTAACGTAAGTACAATTACCGGAGTACTTGTACTCCGTTACAACCAGCTCTGACAGTAAGCACTGTCCAACATCACCACCCAATAGAAAGGGGGCGTCTCGGAAAGTAGCGTTATAATATTGATAAATAAATGAATAAAGAAAGAAAAAAAGAAAGAAAGAAAGAAAGAAAGAAAGAAAGAAAGAAAGAAAGAAAGAAAGCAAAAACGGAAAAGGGGGGGGGGGGATTAAGAAGTGGTCATTCGTATAGAGGTGATTATCTCGGGTGTGTGGCTGTTGAAGCAGTTTGGACTGTACATGTGTATATTTCTTCTACCCACTGCCTATTGTCACGATCGATTCTGTTCGGTTTGGTAGGCGGGGTTAGCTAGACTGAGGACGAAAAGTGACCATCGTGGCAAAAACCGAACGAAGACGATGCGCCAATGGTGATCGCCAAAAGCAAATGTGTTTGTTTTCAAGGCTACGAGTGGGGGGATCGGTTTGTGTTAGAGAACTGATCACCCAGTGGGCACTGGATAATAACACGATGTTGTGTCCACCAGAGTGGAAATGAAGCAAATAGCAGGACACACACTGACGTTACCACAAAGAACATGCACAATCTCTCACCAAAATACTCAGCACTGTCGTGTTGTGAATGAGTCGTTAAGTGTTACTCACAGGAATGTTCTTCGAGTCGCGGTGCCAACAAGATAAACTAATTTATAATTAAAGGAGGTAATCTGGAAAGCTGTGTAAAAATAAATGTAATGAGTTGTTGTGTATGTTTCTTGTGTGTGTGTGTGTGTTTGTGTGTGTGTGTGTGTGTGTGTGTGTGTGTGTGTGTGTGTGTGTGTGTGTTTGTGTGTGTTATACACTTTTTCAAGTCAGAAGCTAATAAGGGGCATAATCAGACAATTGTACTGAATCTTTCCATTGGTGTTACCAATTCTTTACAATAATTTTAATAAAACATTTTGCAAACAACGACTTTAAGTTATCAGCCTTGTATAATTTACCAACAATTCGAAAACGTGAAACCGATAATTTCCTAATACACCTTATTATTTATTTATGCCATATCTGAATACCATGAAAACCTAACATTCTTTCAAATGTACCTCACGTTTAACAATGGACAGTTATCTTTGCGCAGTGGCGGTACCATAGCCAATGAGGTTTTACCGAGGCGTGGTTATTGCTGGTTGAAAACTACTCCCAATACCCCGCACGGTCGACTCACCCGTCGGCTTGTGCAATTTTTTTCTGCTCTTACGAGAGCTTATTTTGAAAACAATAATTTGATGTTAGTGAAATACCTGGATACCTGGATACCTGGAGGTGTCATCTCTGACTCAAACGTTGACGTGTAATGATCCTCCATCTTTCAGGGATGCGAGCTGCCCTTGCACATTCTGCTATATACAGGCCAGTCCATGTTTTTAATCTTGTCCATCTATGTTATTTTTTGTCTTCCTCTGGCTCTCCTGCCCCACATCTTTCCTTCCGTCTCTGGTCTTTTTAATTAAGTGGGTTAGTAAAAAAAAATCTTCTTAAAATAAATACATTTTTTGTAATGTACCAGATCTGCAACAAACATCAGAGACCATTGCCCAGCATAACTTATTTGTTTCCTCTGATACTCTCAAATAAACTAAATAATTGTCTTAAGTCTTTTCCTGCCGTCCATCAGTCCAGACATACCAAGTATTTTGTTCTGGGTCTACCCCTGTTTGTTTTCCATTTCTTCGCATTTTTAAAACTTTAAAAAACCCTCCTCTGATACTGTTGAGCGTCGAGGGGAGACACAGTTTTCTACGGTAGGTCAACTCTGCAACACTTTAAATTGAGAAGTTTTATTTTTTCAGGGTTTGCTTGACTCCCTCAAACAATCCTTGGCGTGGTCTATCTCATCCTTTCTAGCCAGAGTACCTGGTGCAATAGACTCTCGAAGCTGGCTGACTAGATGACATTCAAAAGAGGTGGCCAAAACACGTTAGTCCTTGTTTTTCGGAGAAATACAATCAGGACTCTGTGACTACAGTTGCTCTTACACCTTCCTTTCTCGGCATGTCTCATCTTCTGATGTTAATGGATTTTCGGAGACAGTAAGCAGTAATTTTGCTTCCCTGAGTTTTCCTAAAAGCCCAAATCTGGCGTTGATAGCATAGTGTTGGCATAATTATTAAGGTGGGGTTTTTTTTAGTTTTGTTGGTTTTTGTTCATATTGTTTAAAATGAGACATGTTAAATTGTTTCACTTTTATTTTTCAAAAACCTATCAGCCAGTCGGTGTTGTGGAGTCAGTAATGAGATCTGTCATGCCAGGACGCCATTGTATCTGGGTAGCGACATGTCCCTCTCGCTGGTACAGCCAGACAAGTGGGAGCCAGCAGTAGATACAGAAGTGTTGCTGCTTCATGACATGTGACGTCTTGATCAAGTTTTGGGTTCCAAGAGGCAGCTAAGACAGACAGACAGACAGACAGACAGACAGACAGACAGACATACAGACAGACAGACAGACAGACAGACAGACAGAAAGGGACAGAGAGGCTGGATGTTGAACGCCCCTATCAGCACTATAAGAATACCTAAGAGGCCGGAGTTTCCGGGGAATGTTCGTGTTAGATTTCTCTATCTATCTATCTATCTATCTATCTATCTATCTATCTATCTATCTATCTATCT